CGTCCCGTAGTGCCCAGGGATGAGTGGGTTAGGGTGGATTGGCAGTGCTAAATTGTCCCGTAGTACCTAGGGATGAGCGGGTTAGGGTGGATTAGCCGTGCTAAATTGTCCCATAGTGCCCAGGGATATGCGGGTTAGGGTGGATTGGCTGTGCTAAATTGTCCCATAGTACCTAGGGATGAGCGGGTTAGGGTGGATTAGCCGGGGAAACAGAGGGTTACAGGGAGGTGATTCTGGGTGGGATGTTCTTTCCAGTCAGGACTTGCTGGGTTGAACAGCCCGTTTGCACACAGAAGCGATTCGATGGTCTACAACAGACTCTAACAGTTTCCCAATCTCAGAAATTAAACGAGCTGGCCCATAGTTTGCTATTTTCTTAACATTCCCCTCTCTCTCCCGTTTCGTAATACATTGGCCAATCCTCCGGATTCCCACAATCTAAGGACTCCTGGAAGGTTACGGCCAGTGCGGCAACTTCCCCTCAATATCCTCGGATGTATCCCACCTGTTCCTTAACGGAGGGGGGGATTTAACAGTGTTTGTAGAGTCATAGAGATGCGCAGCGTGGAAACAGACCCTTCGGCTGGACGCGATTAGCTTCTCCGGTACTTTTCCTCTGGCGATAAACTTCATAATCGCCTCCTCTCTGCCACCCTGACCCCCCCCACCCGCAGCCGGTTGATTATTTCGGGAATTCCACCCAGTCTCTGTTACTCACTTCTGCTTGACAAACTCCTCTGTGATCAGCTTCCTCGCGTCTCCGAAGTCCTCGTGCCTCTCGCTGGAAAACACAAGCCAGACACCACAGCTGAATGGAAGGCGGAACAGGCTCAGGGCCCTTCGGCCCACCATGTCTGTACTGACCGTGTGAGCTAATCCCCTCTGCCTGCACATGGTCTGCAACGCGCTTATCCAAATGTCTTTTAAACGTTGCAAAACTGTACCCACACCCACCACTTCCTCTGGAAGCTCATTCCACATGCGAACCACCCGCTGTGTAAATAATTTGCCCCCATTTTCCAAACCTCTTGCCTTAAAAATGTGTCCCCTACTGTTGAAAATCCCCCACCACTATGGAAAAGACACCTACCATTAACTCTATCTATACCCCTCATGATTTTATAAACTCCTATTAGTAAGCTTTCCTCCCTTCAACTCAAACCCACGACCCTAGTATTTGACATTTCCATCCTGGGATAAACACTCCCAACTATCCGCCCCCTCTCATGATTCTATATCAGTTCACCCCTCGGCCTCTGACGCAAAACAGGCCAAGTTTGTCCAACGGCTCTTTAAATACATTCCAATCCAGGCAACGTGCTGGTAAACCGCTTTTCCACCCTTGCCTACACCTCCACATCCTTCCTAGGCAACCAGAACTGCCCACAATACTCCAAAGGTATCCCAAATGAAGTGTTATACAGCTGACAACGCAACTTGCCAACGTTTATATAAACAACAGACAGCGAACCCAGCACTGATCCCTGAGGAACACCGTTGGTCACAGGCCTCCAGCCTGAAAAACGACCCTCCACCACCCAACACCCCCTCCCGTCTCCCACTGTCAAACCCATTTTGTATCCCATTATTAAGCTCTCCCTGGATCCCATGTGATCCAACGTTACTAATGAGCCTCCCACGCGAAACTTTGTGAAAGGTTTTGCTAAAGTCCAAGTTAGCAACATCTACCGCTCAGCCCTCGCCAACATTTTGGCTTCCTTCGTTAAAAGAAACTCAATCAAGCTTGAGAGATTTCTCTGGCGACTATCACTGATCGTTTCCTCGCCTCTCCAAACGTAAATCCTCTCCCCCCATCAGACGGCGTTTGACTGGATCCGGAGGGAGGGGAGGATTGGGCAGGAATGCCCTCAGGGAACGCGCCAGGGCCTGGATCTGTGTGCAGCCCTGCGCCAGTGTAAACAGAGGGTGCCCGTAAGAGGAGGGAAAGTGGAGAGGAGGCCCATCCAACAGGGCACCAAATGCCCCGTCCCTCAAAATATCGCCCCGGGGGGACAGCTCGACAGGCGACGTTGGCATACCTGGGGTCAATGCGAAGCTTTTTCAGCGTGTGCCACAGCAAGGCTGGGGAGGGGGGAGAGACAGAGAGAGAGATAAATACTTGGTGAATTTGACCAGCACCCAATAACGCTCAGTACACCGACAGCATAAAGACAATGAGATCAAGGAAACGAGCTTCCGTTACCAAATCCAAACTGGCTGAAGATGAGAGAGGTGCGTTTGGATTTGATGTGTGATCACTGCTGCAGTTTTCCAAACTTGGGAGCCAACTTGAGCAAGACACACAAACACATACACACACACACGTGCACACTCACGTGTGCCGACCCTCCCACAGCGTCCCGCTCCCCTCGGCGCCGACCCTCCCA